CACTTTGCCCGTCTCACCGTGACACACCGCACCCACGCGTCGCTCACTCTGCCCGTCTCGCCGTGACACACCGCGCCCACGCGTCGCTCACACTTTGCCCGTCTCGCCGTGACACACCGCGCCCACGCGTCGCTCACACTTTGCCCGTCTAGCCATAGCACACCGCGCCCGCATGTCGCTCACTCACTTTGCCCCAGTCCCGCTGGCTCTCTGTGTGCGCCGAGGGCATCTTGGCCTTCTTCTTGCTAGCCTTCAGCTTCTCCCCAGCTTTCACCACCTCACTGGTGTCGTTCTTGCAGGTGGGGCAGTACCTGCATATCAGGTAACATTGTTTCAGCACATGACGACTGATCTGTGATACAGCACGAGGGAGCTTAATCAGTGACTCTGGCATCTATTAATTGTCCTGGTCATTCATCCTATAATCACCAATCCCAGCAGCGTAGCTAGGTGTTTATTTAGGTCCTGATTGTTCCTCTAAAACTTACAGATCTTTACCCAACTAAACTCACCTTTGTAAACTCACTACATTACACTTAAAGACCAATGAATTGTGATTAGCATGAAACTGAGTCCATCCAAGCAAGGATTAATGGGAGAGCACATTTCCAAAACTCACTCCATTTTTTGTTGTTTTTATGAAGAGACTGCCAGTACACTAAAGTCAGGCTTCCTTATCATGTTAGATTAGTGAGATACAAAACTCACTCCGCACGTAATCCAATGAACTTTCAATACATTTCCAGAACCCATTAATTCCACAGAAGTTTTCTGGAAAATGTATCTCGTGGACTGAGGGGACTTTTGGAGATGTGCCCTTCAGTTCCGATATTAAGAGGAATAACTAAAACGCTAAAGATTTACACTAACAAACATCTAGATATAGTATATGTGTATATGCGTGTCGCACGTCCACACCCAGCGTGCAAGCTAACGCGGCGTGGTGAGCGGCGCACCAGTCCTCGTCGTCGGGGATGGCTGTGAGCGGCGGGTTCAGGCAGTAGATGTGGAAGGCCATGTTACACTCGTCACACAGCAGCTGCATGTGGGCGTCCTGTTTGCCGCCGCAGACACAGCACGAGCAGAAGCGGCACTCCGATTCTGGGTCGGCCTTGCAGTGCTTACACTCCGGCCCGGTCTTCCCTGGGTCAGCACACACATACACACACATACACACACACACACACACACACACGTATTTATATCCATTCATTTCTATGACCATAACCCTATTCCCAACAATGACAACCTTATCCCCAACCAGCCCTAACCTTAACCATAAGTAACCAAATAAAATACAAGACTTTTGANCAACCAGCCCTAACCTTAACCATAAGTAACCAAATAAAATACAAGACTTTTGACATTTTTAGTGTTTTGATTGCGGTCGTAGATTTTTATAAAATTTAGTTTCCCCTTGTGGGCATCAAAAAAGTAGAACTGCTCGATTATGGCAAAAACCATCATCACGGTTATTTTTGGGGAATATTGAAATTGCGATTATTTAACTCGATCACTCATTGAAATATCATGCATTTATTGAACTTAAAAAAAACGTGTCTTTTTAACAGTGGATTTTCTTGAGCTCAGTGAATATAATTCAGCTGAGAACCAAATAAAAAGGGACTGGAAAGGAGTGCACTGGGTTTATAACACAAAGGTGTTTATTGATACATCAGTCTAAGGGACTCTGTGCTCAATCAGCAGGGGTAACGGGGGTTAATAGCTCCTACTTCCAGCTGACATCACCCAACACAGTGGACGGCATCTTTATACTCTAAGGCAGTGTTTCCCAATCCAGTCCCCGCAGTCCACCCATGTTTTTGCTCCCTCCCAACTCCCTGTCAGACAGTGCACATTTTTGTAGGGAGCTGGGCAGGAGCAAAAACATGGACCGTCTGGGGATCCCCGAGGACCGGGCTGGGAAACACTGCTCTAAGGGGATGGTTAAGTCAACAGTGAGATGCCAGAAGCCATCGTGTCTGCACCCTAACAGCCATATTTAATTTGAGCTGCTTGTTCTGTCCAAATCAATGAAGTTAAACAGAAGATTTAACCTGCACAAGTTTGGCAGACGGCACACGTTTACTCTCAGTTTCATCCGCAGCTGACATACATTATTTCTGGCAGATTACAAAGCAGGTAGAAGCTTTACGTAATGACTCTATATCACACTGTACTGTCAGCTCAACCTTTCTTCAAAAAGGAATTTAATAAATTGAAAACAGAGAAGATAATATTCCATTATCACTGTCTATTACATATTTAAAACACCTCTTGCACACTGCCGTGCTGCCCATGCTGTTGCTTAATGTTAAAATATACTCTTTTGTCCCGCTTCAGTACCCTGACTATTTCACATAAATAGCTCATCCTTTAAATTAGTTTATATTTCCTAAACACTAATCTCACTCTTTCCTTTCCTGGCTGCTATGTACGTGTGACTCCCGTACCAAAACCGCACCGTTCCTCTGTTCCTCCACATTCTGAACATATTTATGTGATGTTACTTTTGAGCAACAATACTACAACAAGTCGAATTCACAGTCCCAGTGGTGAATCTGGCCGACTAGAGCGAGCGCTCCAAGGCTTTTCACAGGTCGGCGGATCAGAGGGGTGACGCCTACGTTTAAATTGCCCGTCTATTGCTGACAAGGGTGCTGCTCCTTTCTTCTCGATCTTGTATATCTCATCAGGGAAGAGGAGCTTACAGTCGCTGATGACATCACCGGGGCCCCTGCAACAGGAAGGTGAAGAGAAAGCCTGTCATTCATCCACCCCAGCCAATCAATGACATTTCAGGAGCACCGGAAACCCCAGGGGACCGTTCCGGTAATTTCCCAGTTTCAACGATGCTTTCTAGAACTTCCCATCAAAGCTGCACAGCTGAAAAAACACAACCAATGATCCTATACTCAGACTCGTCAAAAATATGCTAATTAGATTATGCTGTGAAGAGTCTGCTTTTACAACAACTTGTAAAGGTAAAAAGAACATCTGCAAGTTCAGAAAATGCATCTCTTCAAGAAATACTTTACATCAGAAAAAAAAACTGCAGACAGGGTTTCTCTAAATTTAAAATGTTTCTAAAGACATCATTTCAAAAACAGCTTCATAAATAAAGAGTGCAGCATTACCTTACGTGATCGTCTTCGTATGATTTTGGATTGACATGGGAGATGTCAAGGTGTAAGGTCACCAATATCTAACTGAGCTTCTAAAGTGATATATCTAGATTAAGTATGACTGTTTAAAAAATAAATATATATATTTAGCATAATCTGCAAATAAAAAGATTTACATTAAAAAGAAAGCGAAATTCACACCAGCCATCTATACAGGAGGTCTTGTGCTAGTAACACATAACCATTATTACTCTAATTATGGTGCTAATACCAGGTGTCATATTATTATAAAGGCAAGTGTCATGTGATAAAGGCAGGTGTCATGTGATAGCTAGTATATAGCAGTCAATGTTTTACGAATTTATCTAATAATGATGATGTGTCGTTAGGGTGCCGTGTCTCTGATCGGAGTATCGCTGATTCCAGCCTCGACAAAATAGTCTTATGGCCACTGAGCCCACAGGCAAGGTCCTTAACCCCCCCCCCCCCCAAAAGGTTCCAAGAGCATGGGGTAAAATGGCCAGCCATCCCAAGCTTCCCTCTCAACTGATTATATACATGCCTGTGTGCATATGTCTCAAAGGCGAGTATGATGGGATATGCAAAATGAAGCATTCCAATGTACCCGGGAAAATAATCTTTTCATTTAATTCATCACTAAACCTAAAAATGCATTTTTCCCTGTTCTAGTATTCAGAAGAGCTCTGTCCCACTGTGTTGTGATTCCTCTCTTTTAACAATTAAAATAATTCACACTAAAAATACTACTGCTGCAGCCATTCTTCATGAACCTAACATTTTTAAAATAATAATATGAATCATTTTAAAATACTTAAAAATGTACTTGAAATCATTTCCCTAGTATTATGAAGTATAAATTATAGGAAAACTTGTAGAGAAATAAGAAAAATCATGCAGTTTTTGCAATTTATGTGACTGGAGAGCTCATTAAATACAGCAGGACGATTACAAATGGATACTAAAGGGAACTGCGTGTTCTCACCCGAGCAGGAGCTTCACGCGAAGCTCCTTGTTGGTCCTGGACACCTCGTTGAGGGCAGTGATCTCCGCATCATACCAGAATCCTCGTTCCTCTGGGATCTCAATGTTGTAGTTCACCATGACGACCAGACCCACCTTCAGCTGCTCCCACTTGAGCAGGGTCCGAGAACGAGGCCGGACGTCCTCAGCGCTCATCTCCACCACACCGTTTTCAGGGTAGCTGGCGAAAGAGGGCAACTTCAAACATCAATCACAGCCAAGTAAGGACTTCGTATAGAACCTCGTATGGACTAGGCTAAACCAAATATCTGCAAGAAGGAGATATGGTCATATTTTCATGCATAATAATTTAACATTAAATGTTTGTGTGTGTGTGTGTGTGTGTGTGTGTGTGTGTGTGTGTATATATATATATATACACACACACATACACAGTGGTACCTCAGTTCTCGAATTCATTACAACTCAAATTTCTTAAAAGTCGAAAAAAAATTACCTAGAGCTCGATCTGAATCTCAAAAGTCAAACCGTGAACGCCGACCTAAGATAACTTGTACGCGCGGGGAAATGAGTCACGCAGCATGTTTGTCAGTGGAAACAAAGGGTAAAGCGTCAGTCTCAGCCTCGCATTCACTGTGATAGCACCGTGCATGTTTACACTAGCTGAATACATATATTTAGACAGTAAAAATATATTTAGACAATGATAGACAGTAACAGTGAATATTATTATATAATAAAATAAATTTTAAAAATTAAGATTTCTTATTCATAATTTTAATATTAATAATAGACCATTAATATATTTAATTATAATAATATTGTCTTGCCGAGTGGGGACGGAATGGAGACAAAGGCGCAGACGTCAGGGTATCGGGGAATACAAGGTTTAATTACATGTAAGGCAGGCAAAACGCAGACGGACAATACAATGACCGGACTGGGGAAACAAATTGAAACGTGGACGAAATACAGAGGACTACTGACAACAACCAGAAACAGCTGATCACACGGGGATTCCACACGGGGTTAACCAGGAGGTGTGGCACACGGAAGGAGCGGACGATCGGGGCCTCATTCACCAACCGTTCTTACGAACAAATTTGTTCTTAAACCCCACGTACGCCCTTTTTTAATGAAGATTCTGACATTCACCAATGTTTTCTTGTCTGAATTTGTTCTTCGCTAAGAACAGAATCTACACACACTCAAGACCATTCGTACACACATTTGAGTAATGATAGTTTGTTCAAAATAATCAGTTATAGCAGTTTTGTTCATTCTACAGTTCATAAAATGAAAGTATTTGAATAATTTATAAAAGTAAAACATAAAAAATTATTTTAAAGTGTAAAAATTATTCTCATGGTAGTATCGGCGATCATGCGGATTATAAATACGTTTGTTTCTCTTGCATTGGCCTTGCTATCAAAATGGCATTTCTGTTACTTCTTGAAGAGCTTGCCAATAGTGCTCTGAGAAAGGAACGCATGTTTGAAGATCATTTAGATTTATTTGGCACACAGCGTTCACAGAGAAGGTGATATCTCTCCATGTATCAGCTTTCTTGGGGGCCTTATATCCACTGGTTACGCTACTAAATAACATGTGTCTATGTGCATTTACCCCCTGTACAGTAAAATCCAGTTATAACGGACTTAATGGGACCTGGCAAAACAGTCTGTTATATCCAAAGTTCGTTATATCCAGAGTTGCTGTATGCCCAGAACACAACTATAGGACACCATTTACTCATGCCACACCCCAGCAGACACACTTTTGGTATAGATTATTATATTGTACATGTAGTAATCCAACTGTACCTGACCAGATGCGTGACTATTAATAATCTCGACTACGTATCTGCACTGGATATCACCGGCACGCCGCGCGCGTTATAGCCGAACAAAACTACAGCTAAAAGCAGCCCTGGGGACTAAATTATTTGTCCGTTACAAGCAAAATTCCATTATATGCGAGTCCGCTATATCTGATACGTTTTCTGCATGTTCTTAAAGGCGCACGGCCGGGACCAGCGGACCTCGTCCGTTATGGACGATATTCCGTTATAAGCGAGTCCACTATAATGGGATTTTACTGTATTAATACTTCTACTTCAGCATTACTGAAGTTTTTTTTTCCTCTTAGTGCCAAGCGGCTTACAGCCTGCGCGCCTCTTCGCCATTCCTTGCACACAGCCCTACAGTCTCATACCCTTTTATGGGAAATTGCAGGGCGTTTCACTATGCTAATTAGGACAAACTGGCACGCACTTTCAGTTACGAAGACATGGGATTCACCATTCTTAAGAACAAAGGTGCGAACAATTCTGCTACTTAAGAACACGTCATGAATCCGACGTAGGTTTTTCTTAAAAAATTTTGTAGGAACAAATTTAAGAGAATTCTTAAGAAGATATTGGTGAATGAGGCCCATTGTTTTTTTTAACTTTACACATTGTTTGGATACATTTATTTTCTTACTTTACAAATTACTGTTTTGATAAATGTGCTTATATATGTTTAGTACAGTATATGCTCTTCTTGTTTAATCCGGTTCATTTCGTGTTTAAAAAAAAAAAAAAAAAAAAACATATTTAGGTGTAATTTTTTGGGGCCGGGAATCAATTAATAGGTTTTCCATTATTTCTTATGGGGAAAATTCGATCAGATCTCGAACTTTTTAGGATTCGATCCGGAGTTCTGAACAGATTAAGTTCGAGTTCCGAGGTACCACTGTATATATACACACACACACACACATTCTTCATTAAATATGCCAACATGTCATCTGCAAACTATCAATAGCGCACAGGGAGCTAATGAGTAGCTAGGAAAACACTTTTTGGAAATACAGTGATCCCCCGCCTATCGCTGAAGATGCGTTCCAGACCCATCAGCGATAGGTGAAAATCCGCGATATAGAAAGACCATATAAATAAACATTTTTTTGTAGTTTAAGCCTTAAAATACCCCTCCCTCATGCTTTAAACACATGTAAACTTATTAAAACAACACATATATGTAGATGTCGGGCTAAGGATATGAGTAACATAAATAATAATAATAATAAAATAATATGTAATGTGTGTATGCATACACACACACCTCTCTGTATACGTAATGGAATTTATAAAAATAAAAACAGATATGGCTCATATATTTTTTTCATCCTTCTTGATGTAGCATACCGTCGATTCATTAAAGCCATAATGGCGAGCGACGTCCGCATAACGCTTTCCTTCCAGAAGCATACCCAGGAGTTTTACCTTCTCCTGAATGGTCAAGGTCTTCCACTGGCACTTAGGCCCACTACAACCAGAAGGCTTAGAAGATGCAAGATGCTTGGGAGCCATCGTAGGGCTTAAAACAAAACGAAAACAATCTGATCACAAGCGAGTTATACGATACGCAGAGAACTGTGACGTGTCGGAGAAAAATCCGCAATATAGCAGGGGCGCGATAGCTGAACCACGATATAGCGGGGGTTCACTGTAGGATAAAGTTCACCCTTGACACATAATCCCGGCCCGGCTGATATAATCTTGTATCAAACACATAGCTAACCAGAAATTTTCTTTGTCATTTTGAAGTAGTTTTCACTACCAAATAAGACTGGAGACCCCTTGAACTCAATGATAGGTCCAACACACAACAGTTCAAGGTGTCCTTCTTTCCTAAGCACATCATTAACTGTTTTTCTCTAGTGCTTTTTCATGAGACTCAGTAAATGTGTGGCTGCATTTTGGCCAAATGGAGGTGATGCCCGTACCAAAGACCTGAGGATGGGCCTCAACTGGAGACAATGCCATAGTTACAGTTATCACGGGACATGTGACTGCTCCTGGCCTGGACAACCGCGCATGCCGCTCCGGCTATGCTGGGAACGCTGCCAAGGTTGAGCGTCAAAGCCCCGAGCATGGACATGTCACTCAGCCGCACTCTGCCCCGTCAGGCTAATTGGAGGCAGCAGCGAGGCTGTCGGAGCCAAGCGGCCAAGATCCACCGGAGGACGACCTCACTCTGCAATATCACCAGCTCAGAATCACCGAGCTCCATCGACAATTACGGGAGCTGTGCTTCACATTCTCTCGAACGTGAAAACTAAACAACCGACCCCCAACAAAACAAAAAATCTGCGCTATTTCCATATCATAGAAGTGGTGTCTGCAGGCCATCGCAGAATATCCTGGACTCACTCGTGTAAATAGAGGCCATCAGTAAATGCTTGACCTGCCATCACCGACGGAGCTGAGCAAGTGAGCACAGGAATGTGAAAACAGATATGTTTTCCGTTTCATGCAGCAACACTGCCAAGAGAAGTACGGGGATCTGGCGGAGTCGCTCCAGATTAACAGGAGGGTCCGAAGGGCACCCACCCGGCTCAGTGCCAGTACGCAGACTATCTTACAGACCAGAGAAGCCCCATTTTAATATAAGCCGCAACTACAAACAGCGACTGGAAGCGCTTAGTGACAAAAGTAAATGAACATCGTTCCACCAGAGGATTACAGTCATTGGGGTTTCTGGATTCGTGGCAGTTAATCAGTTCCACTGGCCCCAACAACGCTGCCGAAGCATCCACGGAGAGAAGAGAGCAGCAACCTGACACCTGAGGGACAGGCATCAAGTCAGACAACGGGATAAACAGGCAAACGTTCACAAGTCCGAGAAGAATCTAAGTGGCCGCCTAAGGAAACCTTTCCCATAACCGAACAATACAACCAATGGCATAGTGAACGAAATCCTTTCCCAGTAAGCAGGGGACAAACACCAGGTGGGAAGAGTCTGCTACATGACAAAGATACACTGCTGCCCTAAGACCAATTTAATTGACCTTAAATGCATGTCTGTGGTTGAGGAAAACAAATGAGAATAATTGGATTTTTTTTGGCGCTCGAAAATGGGGAGAAAACACCAACTGCAAATCTGAAGGTCCAGGGTGATAAACTGTTAGCTACTGAGCCGCTATGCCCTCAGTTACTCATAGATAATGATACTGGAGGGACGAGAGAAGGGAAACGGGGGCTCAGGAAAATTAAAGTCAGCAAAATATGTCTATGAGTTTCGTAATCTCTTCGGTATCAGACAGGCCTGTGTGTAAAGATCTGGAAGCATCAGAGGCTGAGGGTGACACATAACACCTGGTCCAGGAAGAAGGCTGCAACCTCAAAAACCAGACAATACTCAACCAGACACTGCGAGAACTTTGAGGTGCAAA